CCCCGTGCACCCGCCCCCCCCCCCCGCCCCCGGGAGCCGCCGCGCCCGCCCTGCCGCCCTGTGCCCAGCCATGGGGGACCTGCCCGGCCTGGTGCGCCTCTCCATCGCGCTGCGCATCCAGCCCAACGATGGCCCGGTCTTCTACAAGGTGGACGGGCAGCGCTTCGGCCAGAACCGCACCATCAAGCTGCTCACCGGCTCCTCCTACAAGGTGGAGGTGAAGATTAAGCCCAGCACGCTGCAGGTCGAGTGAGTGAGGGAGCGCGCCGGGGATGCCCGGCCCCCTGGGGGTACGCGCGGAGGACCGAGGCCCCGGGACGCCTGAGCCTCCCGGGCCCCTCTCGGCTCGCGCCGCACCCAGGGGGACCCGGAGGTGGGGGGCAGAAGCCCTGGTTCCCTTGGTCCCCTCCTCTGCCTCACCCTTGCCTTTCCTCTGTTCTGGCTTCCCTCTACCCATCGCGGGGTGGGATGTTTAAAACAGCGACAGGAAGCCAGGGGTTCGCGGTTGGTTTGGTTTGTTTGTTTGTTTACCTGTACATTTCTCAGCCCTTCTGTCCCGCCTCCGCGCGGACCCCCAGGCGGCCGGGGCGCTGCAGATGGGTGCAGTTCGCCGCGGAGTTCACCTTCCGCAATCCCGGTCCTCCTCTCCCGCGTCCTGGCGACCCGCCCCGGCCTGCCCACGAGCTATAGGCTGAGGAAGGGAGTGTAAAGGCGGCGGTGGGGTGGTCATTGTGGCTCCCGGAGGACGCCCCCACTCCTCCATCTGCCCCTCGGTGGCTGCGGACGCCGGGCTGGGGGAGCAGCCACAGTCAGAGCGCAGCCTCCTGGGCTTGGCCTAAATTGCCGGTTTCCCGTGCCGGGTGTTTTTCTTTTTCTCCTGAGTTTTCTGTTCACCCTGGTGATGGCGCCTGGGATTAGCAACATCCTTACAACAAAAAGATGTGTGTGTGTGTGTGTGTGTGTGTGTGTGTGTGTGTGTGTGTGTTTCGTTTACTAGTGGCAGGGATTATCTCTTCCCTGCTACCCCAGTTGATGCACCACCTCGTAGACCCCTGGCTGGGAGGTCAGTGTGGGAGGGTTCATAGATTATGGGGAAGCAGCCAGGCGTGGGGTCCTTTACCTTTCAGCCTCCACCTGATGTGAGGTCTAGCGGGGAAGGAGGAAATAGCCAGCATTTAAATCATCTACCATATACTGAGTTGGGGTGGGGGGCGGAGGGGGGTGCTTTGAATCCACCAGAGACCTTTTCAGCGTAAGTGCCCATCTGCAGTCATTAATTCACTGAACTTGTATTGGCCTTCTAGGTGGCAGGCCCTCATTCAAGGACCTAAGACCTCGTTTTTTTACTGGTGCTCCTGGTCCACCTATTTGTCAGCATCTTCTCCCCCGCCCCCTGCCCCCCCCATAGCTTCATGGACCCATTGTCCTCACATTTCCCAGTGTTATCTGTGCATCTCCATGAGATCCAGACGTTTCTTTCCCCTCTTTCCAAGCCACCTCTTCTCTCAAGTTATCTGTTCTCTGTGCCATTTTCTTGAGGGTAGTTCTCTATTTTTCAAGCGAATCTACTAATGACTCTGTGTTAATGACAAAACCATTATTTTCTAGTTAAAATTTAATTGTATCAAGGGGATTTCAATGTCCTAACCCAGTGGTTCTTGAACTTGAGTGTAGGTTAGAATCACTTAGAGGTCTTGTTAAAACACAGAGGGCTGAGCCCCACCCTAGAGTGGGGGCTTAAGAATTTGCCTTTTAATAGGCTGTCAAGTGATCTGATATTGGTAGTTCAGGACTATTGGAGGGCCATTACCCTAACAAAGGAATGGGTGGCTTAAACAACAGTGAGAATGTCTGGTGTTGTAGCTGGCTTGAGGAAGAGTACCCGAACTCATGGGATCCGTGATTGGTGGAACAGAAAAATCATGAGAGAACTAGTTTAGTAGTTCTCAACCTTCTCTACACATTAGAATCACCTAGTGAGTCTTGAAATAGATTTACCAGTGCCCAAACCAGACCAATTGAATTCTTCTCTGGGGTTTGGGATGGGGCTGGGTACAGGTAGGTTTTTAATAATAGCTCCACAAAAGAGACACTAAAGAGGAGGACCCCTGCTAAACTCTGACTTGGCCTTGTACCAGTATTCTAGATGAGAATACTGTCCATCCAGAGAGATTATGTAGTTGGTCTAAGATTACATGACTGGTTAGTTGGAGAACTCAAGCCTCTTGAATTTTCAGAACTTTCTAGAACACCATAATGTCTTCTTTAGCCACACCCTGTAGGTTTCCTACCTTAGGGCTGTGGTCAAGACTAAGAAAGGGTACCTAAGCTCATTCCTACCACATGTGCTCAACTTAAGTCCATTACAGGAACATTTCCATTGGTGGTGTGGCCGTCCCACTGGAACTGAAGTCGAAAGAGCCCGATGGGGACAGAATTGTTTATACGGGCACATATGACACAGAAGGTGTGGCCCCAACCAAGAGTGGAGAACGACAACCCATCCAAATCACCATGCCGGTAAGGCCTGCTTGGGGGTGTAGGGGGTGGTGTTTGGGCAAATAGCAACTACAGAAAAGAAAACAATCACTATCTCCCCTTAAGAAAAGGTATAAAATGAAATATTTAAACTCATGGTTTCATATTAGAATCTATTTGTACCTAATGTCCCAATATAATTAATTAAATAATCCATACTTTTCCAAAGGTCCGTTTCAAAGTAATTTTTTATATGGGAATAATGTTAAGGCCCTTTTTACATTTTCTAATCTATTCCATTGATCTGTCTATTCTTATGCCAGTACTGCATTGTTTTAAATATGTTGCTTTTATGATATGTGTTCATGTATTTTGTAACTGGCCACCTTACTAAATTTGCATACTAAAAATTTTCAGTTAATGACCTTGTGTTTTTCAGCTAGAAAATCATAATCTACATATAAGTGCATCATTTTCTGATTTTTTTCCTCCACAGTATTGCATTGGCTGATGTTTTAGAATAATTTTGCATGCCAGTGTTGGTAAAAGATAGCCTTGTCTCCAGAGTTACATTGTTAGGTACAATGTTAGTTTCAAATATCTATTATGTTAAAGCATCCTTTTTCTAGTTTGCTAAGAGGTATTTTTAAAATTGGGAGGTGTGTGAAATTTCATTTAATTTCTTTTCCTGTCTATGGAGATAACTTATCTTCTTTGATATATTACTATAATAATTACATAATACACTTTCAAATGCCAATATACCTTTATTTTCTAAAATAAGTCCTACTTTTAAACATTATGTATGATTCTTAATATGTTGCTAAGTTCAATATGCTCATATTTTATTTCGAGTTTTTAGATTTTTATTTTATGAATTTTTTTTATTTTCTTGGTTTGTCAACAAATAAATACATGACGATTTCCTATATGTTAATATGGGAGAAAAGTGGTAAACAAAATATACATTCCTGGCTTTACAGAGTTTCTAATCTAGAGGAGCAAAGCACAATTATACATGATTATCAATAATAAAGCAAATTATTACTATTATATAAAGTGTAGTGAAAAAATAATGGTGCCTGTGTAGCACATACCGTGGCTCTAATCCTAGCTTAAGGTTTTGAAGATGGCTTTCTTTTTTCAAAACATATTTTTTATTGATTTCAGAGAGGAAAGGAGAGGGAGAGATAGAAGCATCAATGAGGAGAGAGAATCATCTATCGGCTGCCTCCTGCATGCCCCTTCTTGGGTGTCAAGCCCACAACCCGGGCATGTGCCCTTGACAGAATCAAACCCAGGACCCTTCAGTCCTGGGCTCTATCCACTGAGCCAAACCACATAGGATGAGGATGGCTTTCTTAAAGGAAGCACTAAAGAATGAATCAGAGTTCGAGGAAGAGGGAGCATGTGAGGGAAGAAGAGGGGCTTAGAATCCAGTGGGAATTAATAGATCACGCTACACTAAAAGTCACAGGTGCTTTTCATACTGAATTTACTTGGTAATGAAGCAACATCGTGTTTTTATCAATATAATTAGTTTGTTCTGTGCTCCCAAGTCAATGGATTTCTGAATGACCTTATTAATAACTTGGTGAATTTCACATATCTCCAGTGGAGGTGGGTGGCATAGGGAATGCAGGGAAGTTCTCGGGACTCTAGACCAACTGGTGGTAAGACCACAGAAATTGGTTGGTTTTTTGTTTGTTTGTTTTGTTTTTTAAATATATTTTATTGATTTTTTACAGAGAGGAAGGGAGAGGGATAGAGAGTTAGAAACATCGATGAGAGTGCAACATCGATCAGCTGTCTCCTGCACACCTCCTACAGGGGATGTGCCCACAACCAAGGTACATGCCCTTGACCGGAATCGAACCTGGGACCCTTTAGTCCTCAGGCTAACGCTCTATCCACTGAGCAAAACCAGCTAGGGCAAGACCGCAGAAATTGTTTTTTAAAAGCTCTTCAGATTACTCATTTATTACTGGGGACAACAAATGCATCTTCTCTTCTTGGAATCTGATGGGTTCTCTTTCACATTAGTTGTGAAATTAAAATGTACCAAGGCTTGCAACTTTTAAGGACACTACAGCACATATCCAGTTGTATAGTGGAATGTAAACTATAGAATACAGTAGACGGGGTGGCTTAAATAACAAACATTTATTTCTCACAGATCTGGACGCTGGAAGTCTAAGATCAAGGTGCTAACAGATCTAGTGAGAGCACTCTTCCAGATTCATAGAAGGCTGCTTTCTTGGTGTGTCCTCACATGAAGGAGGAGAGAGAGAGAGAGAGAGAGCGAGAGAGAGAGAGAGAGAGAGAGAGAGAGAGAGAGAGATCCTATTCATGGGAGCTCCACCCCCAGGACCTCTGAAAGGCCTCCAAATACATTTTTAATTTAGGCTTGAATATTGGATAAATTCAAACACTCAGTCCATAGCAGTGTTAAAGGATTCAACAAGTAACAATCTGTGTATGTTCTCACTGAAGGAGAAAATAGAAACCACTGATGATCAACTTGTAGTTCTTTTCCTTATATGAACAGTTTGGTACAGTGACGATGGTTCCTAGATAGGAATTAGGACATCTAGGTTCTTGGCCTGCTCGATCATTAGCTGGCTGCCTCATCTAAACCAAGAGCAAGTCACTTCACCTCTCTGAATTTTAGTTCTTACCTTCATAACATGGAGATGTTAAAACCCATCACAAGACCAATGTGGAATGACATATGTGAAAGTGTTGCATAAAATAAAGAGCACTGCCCTGACTGGTTTGGCTCAGTGGGTAGAGCGTCGACCTGTGGACTGAAGGGTCCCAGGTTCGATTCCGGTCAAGGGCATGTACCTTGGTTGCGGGCACATCCCCAGTGGGGGGTGTGCAGGAGACAGCTGATCGATGTTTCTCTCTCATCGATGTTTCTAACTCTATCCCTCTCCCTTCCTCTCTGTAAAAAAATCAATAAAATACATTTTTAAAAAATAAGTAAAGAGTACTTTACAAATGCACAGAATTACACCCATGTATAAAATGCATCACCCAGGGAGCCTGCCTGGGTAAATTTTCCTTGGAAGGCACAGATGGGTTGAGAGGGAGTAGAAAGTCTATGTAATTTCTTCTGTTCTTCAAGAAGAATGTCTGCTTTTAAAACTCCATCTGTTCTTAGCCAGAGGAGCAGAAATTCTGAGCTAGGTAGTGAGATGCCCAGAAAATAGAACTCCAGAAGAAAGAACAAGAAGGAAGAAGGTTAATGAGAAGTTAAAACAACTAAGGCATGGTAAGCACCAGTTAAGTTTACTACAACATGCCTGTGGGTGCAACATCAGTAAAGGAGAAACAAAATTGACTATGAAGCATCTCATGTGCCATTTACTGAGCTATGACTATTGCTGTCAGCAGATTTCTATTTTGCTCTCTTGGGTTACTGAGACTTCCTTAGTGTTTAAGGTTATTCAGACATACGTTTTTTCTTACCTGTTGTTATAATCAGTTTGTTTTTTTAAAACCAAGTTTTGTGTTTATTTTTTTTTTAAAAGGCCTCAGCATTGTTTCTTCCACTTACCTAGCATGGTTTCAGGCTTTTTCTCTCAAAAGATCAGCTAGTGTTTGTAAAATATCTTTATAATTTAACTTAACTCAATTGCACTTAAAATGTGTAGTGCCCTGTGCTGGCCAAGAATAATAAGTAATACTAAACCCCCTTCAAATGAGTTGGTGATTTACAAAACAAAATTTCATTTTATTATTGTTGCTAATAACCTATTGTACATAAACTTTTAATATTTTCATTAGCATATATGTATCCTTCATAGAATTTATAAAATCCCTAGGATTTGAGAAATACATGTTAATTTTTTAGGGATGATAAATCCATTTCACCATTTAAAATATTCTTTCTGATTATGAAAGTAACATATATTGCAAAAAATCTGAGTAGGAAAGATAGAAAAACCACCCAATTTTTTTTTACTTAGAATTATATTATTAATATGTTTTCATTTTCCCCCATATATCTTATTTTATGGATTTGCGCTCATAGTGTATATAAACTGTTTTTATCCATCTTTTTCCTATTGGCATTGTTCTAATCACTTTCTGACATCATTTATAACCCTATTTCATGGTTATACAGAGGGGGTAAAAGTAGGTTTACAGTTGTTTGTAAAATAATACAAAAATAAACTGTCTCGCATGCTCACAACTGTAAGCCTACTTTTGCCCCACCCTGTATAAATCCATCATATTCCACAATTTTCATAATATTTTCCTTTTATTGAATGCTTAGTTTCTGGTATTTAGAAAATGTTTGCTAAGTTGACAGGTCAATAATATCTTTGTAAAAGTATACTTGCTTAAATTAATAAGTATATTTGAATATCTTCAGATATTAGACATTTTTTTCTTTTTAATGACCTGTGTTCAAAGTATATACAAATGTTCACATTTTTAGTACTCTAAACATTATGATAATCTTATGAAAAATTATAGGTGGAGTTGCTGAACCCAAGTATATTCAGAACCTTTAACTTGATACAAATTACCTTTCCAAAGGCTATATAACTCAGTTCCCATTGGCAGTATTTAGAATAGCTGTTTCCTTGTAGTGCACTAAAAAGCAATATTTCTATTTCTAATCCACTTTGTGGTATAGTTTACATATAATAAATATAACCATCTTAAGCACACTGCTTAGTAAGTTTTGACAAACATATACATATACTTCTATCCACCACCACAATCAAACATTTTCATCATCCCAAAAAGTTCCCTCTTGCACATTTTCATCAATCATCATCCCTTCCTCCCACCCCAGGCCCTGGGTAACCACAGATGTTCCCTGTCAGCTTACATAATATCCTACCACTATAGATTATATACATATAGTTTTATATAAATGGAATCATACAGTATGTATTCTTTGGGGTCTGGATTCTTTTGCTAAGCAAGTCTTTGAGGTCCAGATCCAGTCTTGTTACTGCCTGAGTCAGTATGTTCCCTTTGTTGTTGAGTAAATGCCATTTGATAGATATGCCAAATATTGTCTGTCATCAGGTGAATGATCCCAGTCTGGGGCTATTATAGATAAAGCTGTTGTAGACTTGCATAGGTCTTTAAGCCATGACTCCCTAGACAGCGATACTTTATTTTTCTTACCTGGGAGTAGATTTATGGATCCTAGGTAGATCCTCCATTCTTTCAAGTCAAGCAAACCGCCCAAAGGAAAGCCAGATATCTTGTTTGGGGAATCAAATTAGCAGGATGAGGCCATCGTGCAGGATATACTTTTGAAAGCATCTTGGAAAGCTATCTGGGAAGCACCTGACCACCCTTCTCCTGTCGCAGCCACAAGCAGAAGGCTCCTAGCTCTCACTGCCCTCCCCCTTTCTGTCTTCTGGCTCCTGACAAGTCTAAGAATCCTGCCAAGTCAGTCCCTGTCCCCTCCCATGACAAGGGAGGGTCAGCAGATAAAATAACGACAGGCATCACGCTGTTTAATGCCAGATCCCCTAAATAGCTCCAGGAGGTGGTAGCTGGGTCAGGCTACCCCACAGGCCACTTGAGCACCTGCCCAGTGGCCTCCGGGGTGTTCTGTGCCCTCGTCTCAGCGACATGAGAATCATGGGCTTGTGGTTCCGGAGAATTCTGTGCAGTGACTTGCAGGGCCTACCTTCTGAAGTAGAATGCAAACTTCTTTTTTTAATTTAAATTCTTTATTGTTTAAAGTATTACCTATAGAATGCAAACTTCTTGAGAGTAAGAATAATGCCTTATACAAGTTTTTTTATATGTGCAAAGCACCTAGGAGGAACTCACATATGGTTTTGATAAGGTATAATCAAAGCCTGAGGCATGGTCATGGATCTGGACTTCTAAACACTAGGTAGTAAGTAATATTTGAAAGTTAAAAGAGGGTATTTAACTATCAAATGCTCCCAATCACATCGCTTTTCTTGGAATTAAAATTGATGATGGAGGGGCAGTTGTATCTTATGTTGTGCTTGTGTTATTTTGGACAGCTGTCTTTTGAAATAGAGACCAAAAAAAAAAAAAAAAGCAACCATTAGACATTATGCCCTCTTCTCTTCCCAATCCCCCTTTCTGCGGCAAATGCTAAAATTCTGAGATTCTCAGATCGGTTCCCAGAAATTAAATTTGGAACACAGATACATTTTCTGAAGGTATTTTTACTAAAGACAATATGATAGCGCATGCCATACCCACATGCTGGGATAAGATTTCATAGAGGAAAAAAATGGTTTGCAGATAGTTTTTCAGGAAAATATCTCCCATCATAAAGGAAGATAGTTCATTGAAGGGCTAAGCTTTGCTGACCCACACAGAGCCTTGGTTGCTAATCCTGGGTGATGGAAGACCTTACTCACGTTGGCTCTTGCCTCTTGCTCAGGGAAGAATGGGTTTTGATGGGGCGTGTTTCTCTTCCCTCAGTTCACTGACATTGGGACCTTCGAGACGGTGTGGCAAGTCAAGTTCTACAATTACCACAAGCGAGATCACTGCCAGTGGGGCAGCCCCTTCTCGGTCATCGAGTACGAGTGCAAGCCCAACGAGACGCGCAGCCTCATGTGGGTGAACAAGGAGTCTTTCCTCTGAAGATGGCTCTTGCTGATGTCGCTGGACAATCGCTTCCGAAATCTATTCTTAGATAACCCAGCACAAGCCTTCACCAAGGCACACCACGCCGTCGCTGTTTCCCGTCGGTGCCAATGACCTACTGGCCCCGATTATTTGGAAAGTGTAATTCCCCTCTGATGCAATGTCCCCGACAAAGGAACGTGATGTGCCCGCCCGAGAAGATCCCTTTCTGTCTTCTGTGGCGTTCCCTGCCTCCAATTGTTCTCGGTCGTGCCGTTGGCCGCTCGCGAGGACCTCCGTGGCATGGGCAGGCGAGTCCCATATTTCACGGTTCCACGGAGTGACCGTGGTGTTTTGTTTCTAAGTTGAGTGATTCCCCCCCCTTCTTTGTTAGCCTTTACCTAAGAAAAACAATGTGTGTGGGTTCTTTCCCCAGTGTCACATGGTAACGTGTAACTTGCAATGTTGTGCAACTCTCAAAGCAGGCTTTGTGAGTATGTGATGCAAACAGCAGGGAATGGGACTCAAGTGGGCTTCCTGTGCACAGCTCAGCTTTTTCAGGGAAGGGAGATGACAAAATAAAAGGAGAGCTATTGAACAAGTATTCATAATGTGTTTATGATCATAATGTGTTTAAACAGTTTCAAGTACCTTAATTGTGCTGTGACCGAGTGGCGATAGGGAAAGGCAGGGTGTGGACCACTGTTAAACAAGGCGACGGCAGTTACAGGGTCATCTCGTTGGCCAGCTGCCCTAGTGTCCAGACGTGCATATTGACGCCATTCCCACCCTCCCCTCCACTTGAACTTTGTAAAACTGTGTATGGAACTGTAATCAACTTTTGATATTTCTTAATAAAGGTGTTGAAAAATTATACTCCAACTTACCTTCTTAATTTGGGCAATACGTATTCGTCAGGTGGACCTCAGCTCCAGGCCAGCGCCAGCCCAGGTCTCCATCTGCACTGCAGGGGAGAGAGGTAGACCTGGACTAGAAGGAGAATACTTACTCAAAGGTCAACTCTGACCGTTCCACCAGCATGCTCCAGCCAGCCCTCACTGGGCTAATGTAGGCTCGGGCACTTGGTGGGCAATCAAAAAGTGCTTGTCCCTGTCCTTTCTCCATTCCGCCTTCCGTGCTGACCACTTGGTCATCAGCAGGCTCCGTAGCTGAGCAGCTTGAGGGGTGGGCTGTGATAGTACATGCCCACCAGGGTGGACACCTCCTTGCCTGCTCCCAGGGCACTACAGGTTACCTGGCACAAAGCCCACCCTCCATGAAGGTTGAGGATGAATCCCTAGGAAGGAAAAAAAACATCCTTTTGAAAAGTAACAGACTGCCCTGGCTGGTGTGCTCACTGGTTAGAGCATCAGCCTGCACACCTAAGGGCCTGGGGTTCAATTCCCGGTCAAGGGCATGTATCCGGGTTGCAGGTTTGATCTCCATCCCGTCAGGTTGCCTGCGGGAAGTAACCAATCAATGTGTTTTTCTCACATAAATGTTTCTTTCTCTCTTTCTCTCTCCCCATCTCTCCCTCCCTTCCACTGTCTAAAAAATCAATGGAAAAAATATCTTCGGGTGAGGATTTAAAAAAGAAAAGTAACATACTACTTTGCAACAGTATTCACCTGGGAAGCACAAATCCTACTGTGTTGGAAAAAGTTAGTTGGGGGTTTGGTTTTTTGCGACCTGTAAACCCTTCCTGTAAGAATATGCAAGGTTAATGGGAGCATTAGAAAGAGTCCGTTTATTGCAGAACTGAATTTGGAGGGCTGGCACCAAAACCCTTTCCACCTTTGTCGCCTGCCTGCAGTGAGGCTGTGCGGCCAGCAGGGCACAGCACTGCCTTGGATTTGGGCTAGTCTTGAATGGGTTTAGGAGAGCAGTACGTTTCTCAGTCTGTTTGTTTTTCGAAAATAATAGTGTCTATTACAACTGCTGTTAAATATAAGCATTAGCCCATTCCTAATTACTGTGATTTTTTATTGATTTTGGAGAGGAAGAGAAAGGGACAGAGAGACAGAAACATTGATGAGTGAGAAACGTTGGTCGGCTCCCTCCAGCACAACCCTAACTGGAGATTGAGTCCACAACCCAGGCATGTGCCCTGACCAGGAATCGAACCGGTGACCTCTTGGTGCATGGGCCGATGCTCAACTACTGAACCACACTGCCCGGCCTAATTACTGTGATTGTAAAAGCCAACACTCAATTATTTACACAGACACTGAGATATTTAAGACAATGCATTTACTACAGACAGTGGCTTAAGTTTTCTTCCAGAATATCCAATAGAAGTGCACTGATTAGAAGGTATGGAAATACGAAAACCACATGTTTTAATCTAATGAAGTATGTGACTAGTAAATATTTTCACTTGTGAAACAGGTTTCAAGCTAGTGACCCATCAGAGCTTTAGTATTTGTTGTGAGGGGTGGAAGCAATATGGCTTTTGCAATAGTTCCATGGCCTTTAAAAAAGAACTACAGGTCCCCTAGCTGGTTTGTCTCAGTGGATAGAGCATTGGCCTTGGACTAAAGGGTTCCAGGGTTAGATTCCCCGCAAGGGCACATAGCTCAATTGCAGGCTCCTCCCTGGCCCGGGCCCTGGTCAGACTCATGCAGGAGGCAACCAATCTATGCATTTCTCTCACACAGATGTCTCTCTGTGTCTTTCCCTCTCTCTTCCAATCCCCCCAAAAAGCAATGGAAAAATATCCTCGGGCAAGGATTAACAAAACAAACAACAACAGCAACAAAATATAAAAATAAAAAACTAGTGGTTTTGATTTTTTTTAATTTATTGATTGATTTTAGAGAGAGGGGAAGGGAGAAAGAGAGAAACATCAATTTGCTGTTCCACCTATTTATGCATTCACTCATCAATTCTCTAAGTGCAACCTCAGTACACAGGGATTTTGGGGTTTGGAATTATTTGAGGCAGAGCAGGAGGAAACTGCACACACTGTCCCCCAGAGGAGCTGGAGGGTGAGCCCTGGATGGGAAGCTGGAGCAACCAAGTCCCACAAACACGCTGGCTGAGCCTAAGTGCTCATTTCACCTTTCTATGTCTCAGTTTGCTTGTCTCCAACACAAGGAGTTTGGCTATGAAAATTCTAAAGCCCTCTAAGATTTAGAGTTTTTACCACTATTTCATAATCCTTTTTTTAAAAAAAAGTGTGTGTGTGCATGTGTGTGTGTGTGTGTGTGTGTGTGTGTGTTCCCTTGGGGCCAAGAGATAAGGCTGAATCAAGTAGATGGGGAGGAGAGGGAGATGAAGTAAACAGGAAATCTTAACAGCTAATCTGCCACATTAAGTGATCTCTCCTGGCATATACTGTTCCACTTATGGTTGGACTCCAGCCCAGTGTCTCTGGCTACTTCTCGCACAGCTCTCCTGCTCCAAAACTTGAGTGCTCAGCTATATCAAGCTGCTGAGTTGTAACTTTGCCCCTCAGCCATCTGGAAGGGCTATTTTTACACAAGCTGTAGCCACGTCTCTCTACTTCGAAGCATCAGATGGCTACCCAGAAGCTTGAGGAACAAGGCCATCCTTCTAATTATGTTGGTGACTAAACCCCTTCGAACAGGTGGGAGAGTAGAAATGCCTTGAATTTGTATTTTGTCACTCCTGGCTTACTGAGAAGTCACTCACCCAGCCATCTAAACTATCTGGACCACAGCCAAGAGAGAAAACATGCCAAAACATAAACCTCCCGCCACAATGTCACCTGTCCACTCACTACGGGCTGGGGTCTTCTCGCAAAACCTCATGACTCCCATCTCCGAGGCAGTTCTAACAAGTAGGGTGATCTGGTTTCAGGCTTTTAGGAAATTGGGAGCAGAATAACTAGAGGCAAGAAGGCAACTGGTAGAAATAGATATCCTGAAAATAAATTTTTTCACAGAGAGAAAACAAAGAAAAAAAATGTAAAAAGCAGATAAAGTCAGTCAAAAATATACTAGGTAGGGATGATGGAGACACAACTGTGTACTAAATCACAGTAGTTTCCATTATCTTCAGAGATGTAATGTCACGACTCTGTTTTAAGAGTTCAGATGCTGGAGTCAAGATCCCTCAATCCAAATCCTGGCTCAGCTGCTTCCTGTGTCACCTTAGGCAAATCATTTCACATCTCTGTGCTTCAACTTTATCATTTGGAAAATGGAGATAACAGTAGTGCTTACCTTGTACAATGGTTGTGAGGATCAAATAAATGAGTGTATGTGAAACCTTTCGTGTCTGTACATAATATTATTCAGTACATTTTTAAAAGGCAGGGCAAAATGTTTTTTCAAGCAACAGTATTAAAAATACCAAGAGAAAAGCTGAAGGCATTTCAAGGAATAAAACTTATTTTCACAGGATACTCCATGCCTAGATTGAAAACAGTGGCCAACGTTGGTGCTCTCTTTGGTGTGTGAAAAATTTTATGGTTTTATTAACACAAATACAATGTGTACACAATCTGTACTCATTTCTTCGCTGCGCAGCCTGGCATTGGGGTTGGTGACCTGATGGCCAGCTGGGCTGCCTTTTCACAATGGCAGACGCGGGGAGCAGTCTGAGCACGAGCTCCCTGACGCTGTGGACCAAGAACTGCTGAAAGCCACTGGCAGCACGTGCTTTGTTTTCTTGAAGCTCCCGTAACCGGCACTGCGCATCAAGATCCGGCCCGGCTTCTTCTGCGCACCCTGTTGTCAATGTATCTGCGTTTCCGCCCTTCCTGCTTAATTTTGACCTATCAGTCTGTCTGGCGCCGATGACCTTCTTGGCCCTCTTTTTCACAATCTTGGTTTTCGTGAGGGGTCTGAGGGCAGCCATGGTGCCAAAAAGGAGACGGCTGCCACCTCCGCAGGCAGCACCGAGGAAGAGCTGTGCCCTTCCTCAAAAAAGGCTCCAAAAAAAGCACATAGAGATTAAATGTATATATATTTCAATCCTCACCTGAGGACATTTTTCCATTGATTGTTTTTAGAGAGAGTGGAAGGAAGAGGGAGAGACAGAGAGAAGCACTGATATGAGAGAGACACATCGATTGGTTACCAACGCTCTATCCACTGAGCCAAACTGGCTAGGGTTAGAGATAATATTTTCAACTATTTAAAAATAAATAGTTTGAAGTAGTATGTTTTATAAGATATGGTAGGAAAACACTGTCTCCACAAACAGGCTTCATTAAGTCTCTTTTATAAAGACCCAGTTTTGGATAATATGCAAACCTCAGGACAGAATCCGAGAACTTAAAATCTAAAAAAGGTCACAAATGATGTCAAAAATTCTATTTGCTATTTCTTTGCATCCTCCTGGCAACTCTGTGAATTAAGCAGCACATGTCATATCTTCGTTTTACAGAGGGGGAAAACATCTCAGAAGTTTAAATATAAGGCTCAAGTTTAAACTGCTACTTTAATAAGAAACCACCTCATTTGACCTGCAGCTGTCTCATTTATGAAATGATGATGATGATATTATCCACTTCACAAAGTGCGTTAGAATTAACTAATACACCCCACCCATCACCTTCCTCCTGACACATGTCATTGCAAATGACTTCATTCTGTGCCCATATTCCTGCAGCGTTTGTTTGTTTAACACATTTGCTTGCAGCCTAGTAGATCAGTTGCTTTTCCCAAGGAAACTTACTATGGATCTATTAAAAACATAGATGCCACTTAAAAATTATTGTCAATGACTAGAAGTATTCAATTTTTAGAAACTCGGTGTTCAGAAGGGAAACCTTACACAGCAAATGACTGGTATAGATGACCGTTTCTTTTTGAATTAACTGTGGTTATAGCACCAGATAAGATGAATTAAATGTTTTCCTTAGTGTGTATAGGACTCCATTCCCCATTTGCTAACCAATGAAAA